CTCAATACTACCAACTCAAGTAGACCCACTACTAGCACCACAACCAGACCCACTACTACCACCAAAAACTAGACCTACTACTAGCACCGCAACCAGACACACTACTAGCACCAGAACTAGACCCACTAATAGCTCCACAACCAGACCCACTACTACCCCCACAACCAGACCCACTACTAGCACCACAATGAGATCCACTACTAGCAGCACAATCACACTCGCTACTAGCACCATAACCAGACTCACTCTTAACACCACAAATAGACCCACTACTAGCACCACATCTAGACACACTACTAGCACCACAACCTGATTTACTACTAGCACCCCGACTAGATCCACTACTAGCACCAAAACCAGACCCACTAATAACACCTCAAACAGACCCACTGCTAGCACCAAAACCCGACCCACTACTAGAACCACAAACATACCCACTTCTTGACAACCAAACCCACTAATAGCACCACAACCAGACACAATACTAGCACCACAACCAGACCCACAACTAGCACCACAAAAAGACCCATTACTAGCACTTCAATCAGACCCACTACTAGCACCACAAAAAGACCCACTACTAGGACCACAACCAGACCCTCTACTAGCACCACAACCACACACTGCTAGTTCCACAACCAGAGCCATTGCTAGCACAATAACCAGATCAAATACTAGCACCACAACCAGACTCACTATTAGCACCACAACAGGATACACTACTAGCACAACGAAAAAACATTGCTAGCCCCACAACCAGACCCACTACTAGCACCACAACCAGACGCACTACTATCGCCTGAACCACATCCACTGCCAGCACAATATCCAGATCCACTACTAGTATAACAACCAGACCCTCAACTTGCACAACACCCATACGAACTACTAGCACCACAACCAGAGCCACTACTAGCACCCCAACCAGACCCATTACTAACACCACAAAAAGATCCACTACTAGGACCACAACCAGACCCTCTACTAGCACCACAACCACACTGCTAGTGCCTCAACCAGACCAATACTAGCACAATAACCAGATCCACTACTAGTACCACTACCAGAACCAGACCCACTACCAGCGCCACAATGACACGTGCTACTAGCACCACAGGCGGACCCACTGCTGGCTCCACAACAAGACAAACTACTAACACCTCAACCAGACTCACTACTAGCACCACAAGCAGACCAACTACTAGCACCACAAGCAGACCGGTCCACTTTTACCACCACAATCAGACCCACTACTAGCACCACAAGCAGACCCACTACTAGCACCATAATCAGACCCACTACTAGCACCACAACCAGACCCACTACTACCACCACAAGCAGACCCACTACTAGCACCATAATCAGACCCACTACTAGCACCACAAGCAGACCCACTACTAGCACCACAATCAGGCCCACTACTAGCACCACAAGCAGACCCACTACTAGCACCATAATCAGACCCACTACTAGCACCACAAGCAGACCCACTACTAGCACCACAATCAGACCCACTACTAGCACCACAAGCAGACCCACTACTAGCACCACAATCAGGCCCACTACTAGCACCACAAGCAGAGCAACTACTAGCAACACAACCAGACCCACTACTAGCACCACAAGCAGACCCACTAATAGCATCACAAGCAGACCCACTACTAGCACCACAATCAGGCCCACTACTAGCACCACAAGCAGAACAACTACTAGCAACACAACCAGACCCACTACTAGCACCACTACCAATCTCACTACTAGCACAACAAGCAGACCCACTACTAGCTTCACAAGGAGACCCATTACTAACACCAGCAGCATAACCACTACTAGCACCACAACCAGACTCACTTTTAGCACCACAACCAGACCCACTACTAGCACCACAAGCAGACCAACTACTAGCACCACAATCAGACCCAATACTAGCACCACAATCACACCCACTTCTATCACCTCAACCAGACTCACTACTAGCACCACAAGCAGACCCACTACTAACACCACAGACCCACTACAAGCACATCAAGCAGACCCCTACTAGCACCACAACCAGTGTCACTAATAGCACCACAACCACACTCACTACTAGCACCACAACCAGACCCACTGCTAGCACCACAACCAGAACCACTACTAGCACCACAACCAGACTCACTACTAGCACCACAAGCAGACCCACTACTAGCACCACAAGCAGACCCCCTACTAGCACCACAAGCAGGCCCGCTAGTAGCGCCACAAGTAGACCCACTACAAGCACCTCAAGCAGACCCCCTACTAGCACAACAACCAGACTCACTACTAGCGCTACAACATTAATAATTATAATAATAATTATAGGAGGGTAGACCAGAGAGCCAGTGGAAGGCCTCAGTCAGATGGCCAAAAGCTACAGCTGTGGGTTGTGATATGACTAAGACCTGCGTCAGGAAACACTTTACCTGTTTCCTGACGAACCTAACTCAACCTTAACTGGCACCTTAGTTATTACCTTCAGTAACACCATTACTAATAGTTTAATACGTTTATTATGCCCTTCCTACCCATCCTGTGGGTGGTAGCCACACCATACCCATCCTGTGGGCGGTAGTCACACCATGCCCATCCTGTGGGCGGTAGTCACACCATACCCATCCTGTGGGTGGTAGTCTCACCATACCCATCCTGTGGGTGGTAGCCACACCATACCCATCCTGTGGGTGGTAGCCACACCATACCCATCCTGTGGGCGGTAGTCACACCATACCCATCCTGTGGGTGGTAGTCACACCATGCCCATCCTGTGGGCGGTAGTCACACCATGCCCATCCTGTGGGCGGTAGTCACACCATACCCATCCTGTGGGTGGTAGTCTCACCATACCCATCCTGTGGGTGGTAGTCACACACATACCCATCCTGTGGGTGGTAGTCACACCTGCCCATCCTGTGGGTGGTAGTCACACCATACCCATCCTGTGGGTGGTAGTCACACCATACCCATCCTGTGGGTGGTAGTCACACCATACCCATCCTGTGGGTGGTAGTCACACCATGCCCATCCTGTGGGCGGTAGTCACACCATACCCATCCTGTGGGCGGTAGTCACACCATACCCATCCTGTGGGTGGTAGTCACACCATGCCCATCCTGTGGGCGTAGTCACACCATACCCATCCTGTGGGTGGTAGTCACACCATACCCATCCTGTGGGTGGTAGTCACACCATACCCATCCTGTGGGTGGTAGTCACACCAAACCCATCCTGTGGGTGGTAGTCACACCATACCCATCCTGTGGGTGGTAGTCACACCATGCCCATCCTGTGGGCGGTATCACACCATACCCATCCTGTGGGCGGTAGTCACACCATACCCATCCTGTGGGTGGTAGTCACACCATACCCATCCTGTGGGTGGTAGTCACACCATACCCATCCTGTGGGCGGTAGCCACACCATACCCATCCTGTGGGCGGTAGTCACACCATACCCATCCTGTGGGCGGTAGTCACACCATACCCATCCTGTGGGTGGTAGTCACACCATACCCATCCTGTGGGCGGTAGTCACACCATACCCATCCTGTGGGCGGTAGTCACACCATACCCATCCTGTGGGTGGTAGTCACACCATACCCATCCTGTGGGCGGTAGTCACACCATACCCATCCTGTGGGCGGTAGTCACACCATACCCATCCTGTGGGTGGTAGTCACACCATACCCATCCTGTGGGTGGTAGTCACACCATACCCATCCTGTGGGTGGTAGTCACACCATACCCATCCTGCGGGCGGTAGTCACACCATACCCATCCTGTGGGCGGTAGTCACACCATACCCATCCTGTGGGTGGTAGTCACACCATACCCATCCTGTGGGTGGTAGTCACACCATACCCATCCTGTGGGTGGTAGTCACACCATACCCATCCTGTGGGTGGTAGTCACACCATACCCATCCTGCGGGCGGTGGTCACACCATACCCATCCTGTGGGTGGTAGTCACACCATACCCATCCTGTGGGCGGTAGTCACACCATACCCATCCTGTAGGCGGTAGTCACACCATACCCATCCTGTGGGCGGTGGTCACACCATACCCATCCTGTGGGTGGTAGTCACACCATACCCATCCTGTGGGCGGTAGTCACACCATACCCATCCTGTGGGTGGTAGTCACACCATTCCCATCCTGTGGGCGGTAGTCACACCATACCCATCCTGTGGGCGGTAGTCACACCATACTCATCCTGTGGGCGGTAGTCACACCATACCCATCCTGTGGGCGGTGGTCACACCATACCCATCCTGTGGGTGGTAGTCACACCATACCCATCCTGTGGATGGTAGTCACACCATAACCATCCTGTGGGCGGTAGCCACACCATACCCATCCTGTGGGTGGTAGTCACACCATACCCATCCTGTGGGTGGTAGTCACACCATACCCATCCTGTGGGCGGTAGCCACACCATTCCCATCCTGTGGGCGGTAGTCACACCATACCCATCCTGTGGGCGGTAGTCACACCATACCCATCCTGTGGGCGGTAGCCACACCATACCCATCCTGTGGGTGGTAGTCACACCATACCCATCCTGTGGGTGGTAGTCACACCATACCCATCCTGTGGGCGGTAGCCACACCATACCCATCCTGTGGGCGGTAGTCAAAAGATTACAAAGGTACATAATGGGTCCAGTGACTGGACCCCAAAGTTATGATAGCTGAACTAGTTACAAAGGTAATGAACTCCAGGTAGATCTGGTCACAGTCACGGCAAGTTACAAAGGTAATGAACTCCAGGTAGATCTGGTCAGAGTCACGGCAAGTTACTAAGGTAATGAACTCCAGGTAGATCTGGTCACAATCACGGCAAGTTACAAAGGTAATGAACTCCAGGTAGATCTGGTCACAGTCACGGCAAGTTACAAAGGTAATGAACCATCTACACTCCATTACATGGTTACAATCATGAACAAATTACAAAGTAATGAACACTCCTAGTGGAACACTTACTGAGAAAAAATAAGCGAGGTAGTCTGGAGGTAACAGCAGCGTGAAGTTGCGGGAGGAAGCGTGAAGCGTGACGGTCACTGAGCACCGCCAGGTGGAGTTCTCTCAGGCTGGGAGGCAGCAGTGACACACCATCACTGCTGACACATCCCCGGAACTCCTCCACCTCACTTCTGTAATGTTATCAATTATTGATGAATATTTGACTGTGGTGGTGAGCAGCTACTCTGTAACACTGTATATTGTACCAAGTGGTGGTGAGGAGCTACAGTGTCACACTGTATATTGTACCAAGTGGTGGTGAGCAACTACACTGTAACACTGTATATTGTACCAAGTGGTGGTTAGGAGCTACAGTGTAACACTGTATATTGTACCAAGTGGTGGTGAGGAGCTACAGTGTAACACTGTATATTGTACCAAGTGGTGGTGAGGAGCTACAGTGTAACACTGTAGGCCAACATATTTAGGCCTACACATACAGGTTTAAACATGTACGCCAACACATGAAAGTCTGTTCATGTAGAGTAGCATCTTTAGGTTTCACAAACTAGTTTAAACATATAGGCCTACATATTCAGGCCTATTTGCATAAGCATACATATGCAGGTATGCACTTATAGACACATGTCAATAAAAGAAACACAAGAATGGACAGGGAGTCGAACTGTGATAAGTATATTTAGCTGGTCAATGTTGCTATCATAACTTCTGTGACATGTATGACTGGCACCAAATGTGACTCTAATTTCTCATTCCACAGTCCGATAAGATTTCATGAAATATCTACAATTACAGGTTGTTAGGTAAGACACATATGCAACAGTTAGGTATCTTTATTATGAAACGTTTCGCCTACACAGTAGGCTTCTTCAGTCAAGTACAGAAAAGTTGATAGAAGCAGAAGATACTTGAAGACGATGTAATCAGTCCATCACCCTTAAAGTTTTGAGGTGGTCAGTCCCTCAGTCTGGAGAAGAGCATTGTTCCATAGTATTGTTTCAGACAACGGAACAATGCTCTTCTCCAGACTGAGGGACTGACCACCTCAAAACTTTAAGGGTGATGGACTGATTACATCGTCTTCAAGTATCTTCTGCTTCTATCAACTTTTCTGTACTTGACTGAAGAAGCCTACTGTGTAGGCGAAACGTTTCATAATAAAGATACCTAACTGTTGCATATGTGTCTTACCTAACAACCTGTCGGTATTTTATACCATTTTAATGTACAATTACAGGTGCCAGATCAAACAGGCTGTGATGGATATGTGGGGCAGTGGGCCTCCAGCAGCAACATCCTGGTTGACTAGGTAAGCACCAGACGAGCCTGGCCCATGGCCGGCCTCAGAGAGTAGAGAAACTCGAAACTCTTCAAAGGTATATCAAAGGTACAGACTTCAAAGTTATATTGTCCATAAAATCATAATATGTCACTGATATTTACAAAAACAAAAAAAAAAAGGAATGAACGGGGACTCAAACTGAGGTCCTCACATGCAGCAGCCCAATGTAGCTACCACTCAGCCACGGTGCTAAGAACATAAGAACATAAGAAAGGAGGAACGCTGCAGGAGGCCTGTTGGCCCATACTAGGCAGGTCCTTTACAATTCATCCCACTAACAAAACATTTGCCCAACCCAATTTTCAATGCCACCCATGAAATAAGCTCTGATGTGCAAGTCCCACTCAACTCCAACCCCTCCCACTCATGTACTTATCCAACCTAAATTTGAAACTACCCAAAGTCCTAGCCTCAATAACCCAACTAGGTAGACTGTTCCACTCATCAACTACCCTATCTCCAAACCCATACTTTCCTATGTCCTTTCTAAATCTAAACTTATCTAATTTAAATCCATTACTGCGGGTTCTCTCTTGGAGAGACATCCTCAAGACCTTATTAATATCCCCTTTATTAATACCTATCTTCCACTTATACACTTCGATCAGGTCTCCCCTCATTCTTCGTCTAACAAGTGAATGTAACTTAAGAGTCTTCAATCTTTCTTCATAAGGAAGATTTCTAATGCTATGTATTAATTTAGTCATCCTACGCTGAATGTTTTCTAACGAATTTATGTCCATTCTGTAATATGGAGACCAGAACTGAGCTGCATAATCTAGGTGAGGCCTTACTAATGATGTATAAAGCTGCAGTATGACCTCTGGACTTCTGTTGCTTACACTTCTTGATATAAATCCCAGTAATCTATTTGCCTTATTACGTACGCTTAGCATTGCTGTCTTGGTTTAAGGTTGCTGCTCACCATAACCCCCAAGTCCTTTTCGCAATCTGCATGGCTAAGTTCTACATTATTTAACTTATAAGTACTAGGGTTATGGGCACTCCCAAGCTTCAGAACCTTGCATTTATCTACATTGAACTGCATCTGCCACTTTTCTGACCAAGAATAGAGTTCGGTTAAATCCTCCTGAAGTTCCATAACATCTACGTTTGAATCAATTATCCTACCTATCTTTGTGTCATCGGCGAATTTGCTCATATCACTAGTAATTCCCTCATCAAGATCATTGATATATATTATAAACAACAACGGGCCCAAGACTGATCCCTGTGGAACGCCACTTGTTACAGATCCCCACTCAGACTTAACCCCATTTATGGACACTCTCTGCTTCCTGTCAGTGAGCCATGACTCGATCCACGAGAGCACATTTCCCCCAATGCCATGAGCTGCCACTTTCTTTAACAGTCTATGGTGCGGAACTCTATCAAAAGCCTTACTAAAATCTAAGTAAATAATATCAAATTCTTTATTGTGGTCAACAGCCTCAAAAGCTTTACTGAAGAAAGTTAATAAATTAGTTAGACAAGACAGGCCTCTTGTGAATCCATGCTGAGTATCATTAATCAAGCTATGCTTATCGAGATGGCTTCTTATAATCTCAGCTATAATTGACTCTAGGTCAGGCTTATTGGGCGGTAATTTGACGGTAACGACTTGTCCCCTGTTTTAAAAATAGGAATTACATTAGCCATCTTCCACATATCAGACACTACACCTGTTTGAAGAGATAAATTAAAAATATTAGTTAATGGTTCACAGAGTTCCATTTTGCATTCCTTAAGAACCCTTGAAAAAACCTCATCAGGACCCGGCGACTTATTTTGCTTCAGTCTGTCTATCTGCTTCACAACCATCTCACTAGTGACTGTGATGTTACATAATTTATCTTCTTCTAGCCCACTATAAAAATTAATTACTGGAATATTGTTAGTGTCTTCCTGTGTAAAAACTGAGAGAAAATAATTATTTAAAATCGAGCACATTTCATTCTCTTTGTCAGTAAGGTGCCCATAGTTATTATTAAGGGGACCTATCTTATCTCTAACTTTTGTTCTATAGACCTGGAAAAAACTTTTTGGGTTAGTTTTAGAATCCCTAGCAACTTTAATTTCATAGTCCCTTTTAGCTTTTCTTATCCCCTTTTTAATGTCCCTCTTAATGTCAATATACTGATTCATAAGATGACCCTCACCTCTTTTGATAGGCCTATAAATTCCTTTCTTATGCCCTAGTAGATATTTGAGCCTATTATTCATCCATTTTGGGTCATTTCTATTTGATCTAATTTCTTTATATGGGGTAAACGTTCTTTGAGCAGCATGTATTGTGTTCAGAAAACTGTCATATTGATAGCTATCTTCGTTACCCCAGTCAACAGATGATAAGTGTTCTCTAAGCCCATCGTAATCTGCTAAGCGAAAATCTGGGACTGTTACTGAGTTATCGCTACTATCATACTTCCATTCAATGCTAAATGTAATTGATTTGTGGTCGCTAGCACCCAGTTCCTCTGAAACTTCTAAATTATTAACAAGGGATTCATTGTTTGCCAGAACTAAGTCAAGCAGGTTATTTCCCCTTGTAGGTTCTGTCACAAACTGCTTCACAAAACAATCCTGAAATACTTCTAAGTCGTATGATTCTAAATTCCCAGTCAAGAAATTCCAATCAACATGACTAAAGTTAAAGTCTCCTAGAATTACTACATTATCGTGCCTTGTGGCCTTAACAATTTCCTCCCATAGTAGTCTCCCTTGGTCCGTATCTAAATTTGGGGGACGGTATATCACTCCTAAAATCAGTTTTTCATACCCCTCTGAAAATTCTATCCAAACAGACTCTGTATGTGTTACTTCAGACTTAATACCCGTTTTTATGCAACAGTTCAAGCGATCTCGGACATACAATGCCATCCCACCCCCCTTCCCGATACTTCTATCTTCTTGGAACAATTTAAAACCCTGAATATGACATTCCGCAGGCATGTCCCGACTTTTTTAATTAAACCACGTCTCAGTTAAGGCAAATACATCAATGTTACCTGCACTAGCAACTAATCTCAACTCGTCCATCTTATTCCTAGCACTACGGCAATTAGCATAATAAACATTGAAAGACTCTCCTTTCTCTTTACCCTTCCTGCTCATTTCTATTTTTCTACTAAACCTATTACTATCATTATCACCCAAGGCCCCTGGCTTTTCAATATCTACCTCGTTCTTATTATTACTAGTTCCCCTAGAACTCGCAATATTACTACACTGGGACTTCACTGTTTTCCTGCCAAAACCCATACCACTAACTACTCCTAGTTTAAAGTCCTAACTGCTCCTTCCACTGCAATTGCCAGCGCTCCCACCCCACACCTAGATAAGTGAACCCCATCCCTGGCATACATGTCATTTCTGCCATAGAAGAGGTCCCAGTTGTCAATGAATGTTACCGCATTTTCCTTACAGTATTTGTCCAGCCAGCAATTGACACCAATTGCCCTGGACAACCATTCATTTCCAACTCCCCTCCTTCGCAAAATACCACATATGAGAGGGTTCCCACCCTTACTCCTAATTATTTCTATTGCTGACCTATACCTGCTAATCAGGTCTTCACTCCTACGTCTGCTAACATCGTTGCCTCCAGCACTGAGACAGTTAATAGGATTACTCCCATTACCTCTCATGATGTCATCCAGACGGCTAACAATATCCTCCATCCCAGCCCCAGGAAAGCAAACTCTCTGTCTCCTACTCCTGTCCTTCAAGCAGAACGCCCTATCCATATACCTAACTTGGCTATCCCCAACAACAACAATATTCTTACCTTCCTTGGTGTCGTTCGTCGTGACGTTCCCAGTAGTCGAC